TAAGATAAAAATTCCTAGCTGTTTCTCAGTGTGACAATACAGCTGCTGCTCTTTAAAGAAACATAGTAAACCTGGTAGGATGCAATAACTAACTGCACTGAAAATATAGCTGCATCTTGAAAATGGCAAATTTGCTAATAACTTCCAGTTTAAGATTTGTAACAATTCTTTATGTCAGTTGAACAGTGATGGCTGCTTTCATGCAGTTTTCATATGATCTCTGGCAGCCAGCATGTCTTAGAAATGCCTTAAGCTGAAGTATAAGTTAGTAGAAATTGTAACATAAATATTTCACTCTTTCAGACTGCTGCATGGCTTCAATTCAGAAGGCATCCATTTCTCATAGACCTTACTAGAAAGAATGAAAGATGTTCTGTATTTTGTCACTGAAGTCTCACCTAAGCCAGAGTGACTGCAATGGGACAAGCTCTTCTCACAGAAGCAATGAACAGAATACAGCATACGCACTCCGGTTCTTATTAAAACCTTACATGCAATTTTGTCACAGATAGTAGGCAATAAGCTGCTGCTCTGTATTTTAAAAAAGTGATAAATTCTCATGACTGACGTGAGGTGCTGGACTTCCACATGACCGTGTATTTTTAATGCACCAATCACATGGATTGATGCTGCCATAATTGAAATCTGCATTCTCCAATCATGGACTTCACCTCAGTATATTCTTGCACAATACTCAACAGTACAACCCATAAGTCTGGTCTGAGCAACAAAACCAGAGCTGTAGTCATTGCATTTGTTTGGGATTTTTTGTTTGTTTGATAGTGTACTGAAACACTGTCTCTTCCATTTGTCCTCTGGTAGCTACCTGCATTCCAAGTCTGTTAGTAATCCACTTCTCTTGGAGAAATCCCAGTAACTGTTTCTCAGAAACAAGAGCATTTATCTTGTGGGCTTGGTACCATTTACAAAAACATTATCAAGGTACCTGAAACTACCACTGTCATCTCCTTTATCTGCTTCTTATTGCCATCAAATCACTGTAGGAACCAGCAGAAAATTACCAAAGGGCCACTGCTCATAAGCATAGACAGAAGGGGATTATTTTTGTCAACTGTAAATTCAAGCAGCTATTTTTATAAGAGAACTACTTCACCCTTCAAGGCAAGGAGGACTGTTAGCATAGCTCAGAGCTTTCAGTGAGTCTTAGAGCAATGCATGCCTGTGTCCTGAGAGAAAGACTTACTGAAGTGCCTTAATATATTTGTTATTAAGGACAAGGCAGAGTTTTCCCAAGGAAGTTTGCACTAACTCTGTATAGCAGCTGTCAAAAGAAAAATCCACTGTGGCCCATCTTACGATTCAGGAAAACAGTAACTATTAACCCTGTAGCATCATGCAGGGGTGAAGGCATGACTCCATGTATCAACTACCCTAAGTCAATTGCATGTATAATGTATCTCCATAAGACCACAGTAAGTGGAGGAGAGGCAAATGAGCAAGAACTCCTCCTCTAAGATGTAACTTCATTTTATACACATCCAATGTCAATTCTTCAAACATCATTGATTCAGAAACATACAGAACTATGTACTTGAATTTGCAGGCATCATGAGGGATTGTCTTGGAAAACGGAATTGCTCATTTATTCTATAATTTAATGATTCTAGTGCTGCTTCACTGCATGTAGAACCAGTTTATGAGTGAGGTAAGTAGCCACAGCAATATGCACAGACCAGTACAGAAGGAACAAGTGCTGAAGATTTCTGTGTCACTTTGTAAATGCTTTTGGTTTACAGGACCAGAATAAAGACAAGCTTTTCTGAGTCCTATTCAAGTAATTCCAGTCCATCACAGCAGTGGGCTACAGCAATTCAAGTGCTGTAACCAGCGGTATCAGTTTATCTTGATTCTCACTGCTTCGTTATCACTGTAGATCTGACCTTTACAGCAGGCTCTGTCACAAAGGCTGTCTCTTAATGTTACCCTCCTGCAGTAGACGAATTTCAGCTTGCATCTGTTACCTGACAGGACACTGTCATTTACAGGTGGCTCTGTCCTTCCTGTCCGTTTTGGTACCTGTGGTCAACCACAGCCTGGTTGTGGCTCTAGGCTTGCATGGAGGAATCATAGGGAAGCCACTGTTGCTCATGTAGGATGTCTCAATTTTCAGAGGCTTTTTAGAAAGTAAGATTTCTCTAGAGCAGCTTTGAAGAAACCCTCTGGTATTACACGATAATCTGTACTACCAACTGCTAACAAAAGCTGTTGCTCTCCATTTCATTGGTTTTTTTCTTGTAACTGTGATGGACAATGTTCTTGAACAAATGCTCAGAAAGGTGTGTGATGTTTCTTGTTACGACCTGCTACAAAACTAAAGTCAGGACAGTACTCTGGGGAACTTCTTCCTGTATGGCAAATTTGTACAGAAGAGTTAGCTCCAGAAGTAAATATTCATTCTGAAATCAGAGGCCTTTTCAAAAGTGTAACTCCAATGTGCTTAAAAAGCAAAGCCCCTCCCAAAGCACAACAGAATTTTCATAGAAGTAAATTCTCATTTGTAATTCATTTAATAGCTTAATTTATTAAACACATTATGTAAAATCTACATTGTTTCAGTTTTCATGTTTACAGACAGGAGGATTTTTTTAATTTTTAACCATGATGCGACAAGAGCTTCCCATAGCCTACCCTCCTATGGGAGATACAAACAGTAAACACTACAAGAATTCCTGGCTCATTTAACTCTCTTTTCATTGCCTTCCCTTTATTTCCCTTCAGGCCTGGCACAAACAAACAGGCTTGTATTCCAAAAGTATTTTTTAAACAGTTCCAAGGGAAAGTCTGCTGATATGAACTCCTGGAAACAGGGAGAACTCCTAGAGAGGTCTACAATTCTTCATTTGACAAGAAGTTTTTACATGAAAGGTCAATCTTTTTTGGATACTGACTTGCAAAAATAACTTGAGTGCCACCATCTAAAAAGTGCTGATACACATGGCGCCATTTGTGAGAATTCAGGTACTTGTGGGATTGCTATTAGCACTAGGTAGAGGTATTGTGCAAAATCCTGGGTGCAATTTCACCCCACTTTTCAGCTGCTGGCACTGTACAGAGGGAAAAATAGGTATTAGCTACTTTTTTTTTTTTTTTTAAAGCAACAGAGCTACTCAAACTACCTGCAAACTACGGTTAATGTACATGTAAGTTTGTCATGCATCAAAAGCCAAATTTTAACAGTATGTGAAAGGCCAGCATGTATGTATTTAGCTGGATCCCTGAACTTCGACAGTTATTCATATGCAGAGGTCAGATTGTACCTTTACTCTGACAGCATTATCACACCATACCACATACTGTATATCTGCATTATTCTAAGATACAACTCTCCTCAGTACTTAAACATTACCCTTTATTATACATCAACTAATTTATATTTTTGTTTTTTCTCTTTTTTTTTTTAATAACAGAGGAAATGTTAGAATTATATAACCATTCTTTATGGTATTCAAATAAATCTAGATTCCAGATTTTTACAAGGAGGATGGAATGTCCAGCTGTTTGTCCACTCCAACAGCTCTTGCAGTTCCTGTTCAAATGATATGGCACATCCTGTGAAATGAAACTAGCCACCAAAAAAATAAGTCTCAAAACACATTAAAAATGTACACACACTAAAAGTAATTTATACTGACAAATAAGGAATGTTGTTTATTAAGGCTGTGCTTTAGAAAGAGGGTGTTTAGGGTTAAGTAGCCTTCATCAAGGCACAGAATGGGAAGAGGTAAGCACAGCTCTCTGTAGAAGAGGTTATGTACAACCACCAGTGGGATGTGCATGCACACAAACACAATTTAAAACTGCACAGCCGGTCTTTGTAACAAAACTGAACAAAGTCAAAAGGAATTACTGTGACTTTTTAATAGCCACAGTTTTACTTCATTATTAAAAACATGGGAAATATTTCCAAACATAAAATTCACAATTTGAATAAATGAAATATTTTAAACAAAGTGCTTCACAGATCTGAACCCTGCATGGTTGTGCTGTCTGGTCTAGAAGCATTTTGTAGACATCATAGGAGCATTTCACACAAAACTGAAAATGTCATTCAGGTGAATAAGAAATAGGACATTTCCACAGACATTTCTAATGTTTTTACACTTTCAAGTAGTTGAGTTCTTAACAGCCACTGGTTTTGTAACAAATGTGTGCTACAGCAGTATGGGTTCGTGGATTCCTTTAGCAGCAAAGGCCCATTTCAAAGGGCACGTGGTCTTTTCGGGTTGATCTGTTTACTGGCCTGTTCCTCCTCTTGTAGAGCTGCCCGGAAAGATTTCACTTTATCTTTAATGAAGAAGAGAGAATGAGTACTGATGTGGCTGCGCTCTACACGGATCTTGAAACTAAGCCCTGATGCACAACAAAGAACACTTCTCCACAAACATAGCTGGTGCTACAAACTGCAAGAGGATTGATATAAGCTTAAATTCAATACTCACCATACAAACAAGTTGCTTAGCAACTTAGTCCCTTCTTAGGTGCTACCCCTGTCTCTAGGCAGGAGAGGTTTGGAAACTGCACAATTGCATTCCCAGCATGTAACCTGTTCACACTTAAATTCTGCTTCTAACTTCCAGAGCATAGGGAAATACACACCACATACATCCTTTCCCTTCCCAGCAGCTTCCAAACCATCCTTAAGAGGCATACAAAATTCTATTTAGTGTACTATCAGTTACTTCTGTACATTCTAAAACCCAGCAGAGCACATTCTACTCCCCCCTGTTTTTCTATGAATGTGAAAAGCATTTGTGATTAAATTTTGGAAGTTATTCACCTTAAACAGATAAATGCATCATTCATTTGTTTCATCATAACTATAACAAGAACAGGAGAAACCTGAGAAAGGAAATGTGACATCCTTTCATATTCCTATTCCTCTCCCCCTCCATTCCCCAGTAATATGCCCAAGAATGGGAAGAAGGAAACCAAAATGACAGCATAAACATGTTAGTCCCAGAGTGAGGAATAAAAGCTGAAATATTCAGTGACCATTATGTGCCATGAGCAGAACACAGAAGATACTAGGAGAAAGAATTTTTGACTTAACAGTTCTTCTCTCATATAAAGCTATACATTTATCAAGCTGCCTGTAAAGGTGCAAGGATCTCTTAGATAGCCTTTACCTCCAGTACCTTGTTTCAAAAGCAGTATCTAGTAAGTTTTCAAAGAACAGGGAGTCACCTAAACTGTGTTTTTTCACCGCTGGTGTCTCAAATTTTCTTCTGAAGGTGAAGCTATCATCCACAAAAAACAAAGGAATGTACCCCCAATTCTTTGCTAAGGTATACTGGCGCCAACACATGCTTAGAAGGGAAGCAGGCCACATCTGATTTGCTTTATGTATTCTAACTTACAGCAGATACTCAGACTGAGTAAAAATGAAGATCTTATCTTACAAGGAGTTTTCTAACACAGATCAAAAAAACCTCACCCCCGCTCCTCAGCCCCACCCTTGAATTTTTACCAGTAGAGCATGCCTGCTGGATTCCAAAGTGTTACAGAAACTAAAATGAAAAATTCATCCCCATGAGGTACCAAGCTGACAAGCTGATTTTAGAAGACAAGTGGAAGAGTCAATTTTGGGCACTAAGAATTATCTGCAGTTTTGTTTTCAACAAAGAGAGGCTGACAAAATTCAGGCAGAAAGGCTGCTAAAGAAAAAAGTAAGCTAACAACCAAGCTACTCAGAGCTCAGTGCCACTCTTAAGTACAATCTTAAAAATGACAGCAGGCTCCCTGCTACACTACAGAATGCAACAGAGCAGGAACTGGGAGTTCCTACTACTTTTTCCTCATTGCATTACCTTCTTTTTTCATACAGGTCATTTGGATTTTCTTTTCCCTTCCTTTATTGTTTTGGAACAAAGGAAAAGAAAAGGAAAGTTGCAGGATCAAGTTTATACTTCCTGAAGGTAAAGCAGAGATTCTTCCTTTAAACTAGGACGAACTGAGCACAGATGTGAACTTGTTCTTAGGCAGCAGAATAAATGTTCCTTCCACAGGACATTGCAGGGCAGCATAAGGGGAAAAAAGACCCTAAAACATAACCACACTCCTTTTTTTTCCCTCCTCATTATTGCTGCAAGTCTCCATGGCATATGAAAACACACTGCTAATAATGGACACAAACGTGATTAAAAGTAATCTACCTCTAAGTTCGGTCAGGATATCAATTTTTTGCTCTAGAATTGCTTCAAGTTGGGTAGCATAAGAATCCACATCATAGTCTACTTCTTCTGTCATCTCAAGAAGCGCTTTTTCATCTTCCAGCCATCTAATAGATTCCTAGATAAAAGTTTAAAAAAAAACCAAAAACACTAAATACATTAGCAAAGTTTCAGGACAAAAGAGCTGAATTAGACCTTTTCTCAAGATGACCACGCTTCTACTCTCTCGTCATTTCAATATAACAGATTAGTGGTTATGAGATCTGTCTCTGTTTGCAACAATGGGGTTAGCATAATAAAACAATTTAGAAATGCCTGACAGCAGCAGAATGACCAGATGATATCCTACGTCTTCAAGAGTATGCACTTTAATTAGGAACACCTTAATTCCTGGATTAGGATAAAACAAAGTAAAGCTCCATCTTTTACCTGGAAGACAGCCCTGTGGTCTTCTACTACTTGCTCTTCCATTTCTACCATTTGGGACACAGCTTCATGGAAAGTAAACAACTGCGGAGAAACTTCCTCTTCCTACAAACAATAGTTAGGCTTGTTAGTCTGGAAACAACTGTGACTACAGGAAATATATTGAATGTGATCCATCTCATCACAGAACACAAAAAGAAATATGCAGAAGGCAGAACCTGTACCAAAAATAGTATTTAATACTTCTAACAATAAAATCTCCAGAAATGAGTGCAGAAGGCAATAAATTCAAAATGTGCACAGAGTTAAATTTAGTTCATATTCACTAAAAATTTCCAGCCACTAATCCTAGTGAATACCAGAAAACGGAATATTCCACATTAAAAAAACAAGTTAAAACAGTGGGAAGAGGAAGTCACAAGGGAAGAATGCTAATTTCTAGTAGGTTTTAATGCCTACAGAAAACTCTGGTTTTCTGTCAGGGCTTTTTGTTGTGCGTATCGCAACAGAAAGACAACAGTTTTCAAAAAAAGAGAACAGCAATTACATTCAATACATTTCAGGAAATCAAAATTAAATTAATCCTTGGGAAAAGAAGTGGAATAAATGTAAAATGACAAATCTAAAATGTACATAGTGATTAATACATTAGAAGAATGCACAACATGCATTTGTAAACCGGGGCAAACAGGGCTTCTTTAGAAATTAATAGTTAACAATGAAAGGGGAAAGTGCTAGGTAGGCTGGTGTCCCAGGATACTTCTAACTGCCTAAAATAATGTGAAGCTATACTGAAAAAAATGCACACTAAAGAACGCCAGAGCCTAGAGCAGACCCTGCCTAGACATTAAAAGCCCTAATTAGCCAGGAAGATAAAGAAAAGTAAAACATTCTCCTCTCACTTGTATGGGAATGAACATACTTGGTAGTGTTACGTTCATGGCTGGACTGGATGATCTTAAAGGTCTTTTCCAACCTCTACAATTCTACGATTCTAAGATTCTATAATATCATAAAGTGAAAAGGTGAAGAGGCATGCTGTATTTACTTAATGATCTTGCTAACAGTCTATAAATATACATTACTCTGGATTTGTTCTGCCACTGTATTTATCATCATCTCTTTCCATGTAATGCTGTAAACCACTCACATTTTGTTCACAAAGCAGTTTGAGATCATCTCTCTGAGGAGAGCTCCCCACACCCCACTGTGTCTCCAAGTCATCGATCTGATTTGGAGCATGGTGTATAATAGGACGGATATCTCCTGCGGCACTAGGATCGACCGTCAGCTCCTTCACCCTACAAGCAGAAAATGTTTCATTTGTAAATTAGTAACTTCCTGTGAAAAAGTGTCACAACCAAAAATAAAGCTCTATGGGTTTATGCACAATTAATTCATTTAATAAGGATGATGATGTCAGCTTCATAAATTTCATGTACTTTCAGTGACAAAAAGATGTTAGTCCACCTCCTGAAAAGCATGGGCCATTGAATTTCAACTACTTGCAGGTGGATTACAGTCCGTCTTCCAGCAAGAGGCATTTTCTGATTGAAATCTTACTACTAGTTAACAGTTAAGAGAGCAAAAATCTCCAAACCCTCAATATTAACTCCTTAACAATGAGTAATGTTTGAAAGAAAAGTTCATTCAGCACCTTAAACCTGACCATCTTTCTTCTTCTCTGCACACAACTGTGCTTTAAAAAAGTTGGTCAATCAGTACCCCACTAGCTGTTACAAGCAAATCCACCGACAAAATAACAATTTGCAATCAAGTATTTCAGAAAATGAATAGATCCTTTAATTAAAACAATTTCAAAGGTGAAAATACTTATTAAAATGTTAGGCTCTTGCAGCATGAAAATAGTTTAAAAGCAAGTTTATGAAACAGACACATCAAAGTCTGCAAGTATAGCAAGTTTTAGAACATATTCTTCATTTTTTTAAAGGGAAAAATGTTTTTTTTCAAGTAGCACTTATTTACCACAATGGAAACTGGTTTTCATTCATCTTCAGAGTGATGAACAGTTTTAAAAATATGCATGTATGAAAATTGTTTTCTTTTTTAATTAGAGATATTAAAATTACCCTAAATGCAGACTTGTCAGATTTGGTCCACACTAAATGTACAAAGTTGACATCACCATTTTTTTTTTTTTAAACGTATGAAGGAAACTAGCAAGCCTGGATACAGATTGTGGATGTTTAAGGAGGGTGAACAAAATACTGGGAAGATGATTGCAGATCATGCAGAACCATCACCTGCCAAACAAAATAAAAACAAAGTATGTGTGACTCAAGGCAAGGGGACTAATGAAAGGTTGGTCTGTAAAATTACATAGCCAAAAAGAAAACTCAAAAATAAAGATTCCATGTATAGAATGAAGTAGACCTGGTGATTGAAGGAGAAAAGTCGTCATACTCATAGGAAGGAGAGAGATCAGAGCGACTGCCACTACCCTGTGAGAAGGGAATGTCCGAAGGACTAATTCCAAATTCCTTTACTCTGCAGCAGCAAAATACAGCAGCAAATTAAAAGAAAATGTTCTCATAAACACAATTAAAATGACAACTCTTTGTTTAGCATAATTCTTTAATAGTTTAACTACAAAATTATTTTTGCATTAAAACACAAGTGTGCCAACTTATTTAAGCCTTCTGCAAACAGAGTTACAGATCACTAACAAAACTGAACAAAACCAGTGCTGCTAATTTGCAGGGGACTATAATAGCAGTGTTTTCAGAAGAGTAATTCCAGATTTCAGTTTGTGCAGTTAATACAATTTGCTCTACATTCCACTAAAGGGCTCCTTTTAAAATATCAAACTGCTACAGCCACAAAACTTTAAATTCTATTCTGCTCTCTGTCTTAAACTGAACACACACTGGTGTCCAGCACCTGAAAACTAACTGTACTATGAAAACCATATACTGCTAGAAAAAACTAAAATACTACACAAAACACAGGAACCAACTTTACAGTGACAGGCATTTACTCCATAACAACATACAAATTTAACACCAAGGGGAAGGAACAGTTTCAGCATAACTATGTAATATACTAGAAAAAGGTGTTTAATTAGTTTTGCAGTGTCTTTTTGTGGAGTCACTTCAAGATAAGGGGTAAAAGATCCAGTGAGTCTTGATGAATGTGCAAGGTTCTTCATTATGTTACTGTAAGCAGGGGAGTAGATGCCTCCTTCTCACCAGGAAGGAAATCACATAGACTGGTCCAAGCCAGGCAGATTTGCTACCGGCTCCCTTGATCCAGACACAGAGACATCTGGATATCAAGAGGAGTGGGCAATAAGCTTTCCTAGCAGCCCTTTGTGCCCAGCTACTGACTGGACAGGGTGTCCAGCCAAGCAGGAGCAGACATGGTTCTGCCCTGTCTTTCACTGGGGCAAGCAGGCCACTAGATGGTAGCCTCTTCTGGCCAAACCAGGGTTTCTGATGGCCTAGAGGCTTGTTTGCCTCCTTTTGTTCTTTGCAGCAAAGCAGGGGGGGTGGGGGTGTCTCTGCGTCACAGGTCTGAGTGCAGGGATACACAGGACCTGATCACTCCATCTCCACAGGCATAAACCAAAGAACTGCAGCAGGGGAAGGCACTGTTCACACTCACTGAAGAGAGACGAAGACTTTCAGAGAGCAGTACAGGTCTCAGAGATGCTGCATCAGCCTCTGGAAGTGCTAATTTCTCTACACTGATTATAAAGTCACTGTTGGATTAACTGACTCTTTACTTAGGGGTCTCAGGTATTTGCCTGAAGTCGGGAAGTGTAGTATGAAACAGACTGGCAACTGCACACAATTCCACGAAAGGGATGAAAAAAAACCTCCACAATGCAGAAAGATATTTCAGCTAATACTCCAGGGAATCATCATAAATACTGACTACACCTAATGCAAGAGATGGTGCGTCTAGAGCAGGGGCAAAACTCATAGGGGCATCTCCCACATTCCTTGCAATCCACATTATCCATCTCTGGATAATAGCTTATATGCAGTTTCTATTGATTCTATTGTAATGGTTGTAAAAAGTGACAATTTAAATTAAATGTGAGCCTGGATCAGTAATTTGGTTTTAATCTTATTAAGAAATGCAAGTACGACAAAATTACTCAAGTAGCTAAAATAATTATGTATCATGGAACAACAGTATCCCAAATGTCAGTGGTCAACAGCCAGTATAGCTATAAGCAATAACATTTTCCGTACCTATTTGCATATCTCAATGTATTTAGAGTATTTTCACATGATGCCATCCCTGGAGAAATTGTAGCGATCTGGAGAAAACAAGCCACACATTAATAAATCGCTTTGTACAGATGAAAGGGTAGATGAATTCAAATTAACTTTTTTTTTTAAATCTCCAGTTTAATTTGAGATCTTCTACAAAAACTGTCTACTACATACAGCTGTCCCTACACATCTCATCTCAAGGAGAGAGATGTCAAATCAAAGCTTCAATTTAATTTTTTTAACCATACCTGGAACATCAAGAATTCATAGAAATTTCAGTCAATTTCCCGCATCTCACTGTCTTGGTAACATAATATCTAAGTGCAAAACTCTAACTGAAAAAATAAAGACTTCTCAAAAAGGGAAATATGCAACTCAGCAGAAAGTAAGTCTAATATATCATTGTCCTGGTTTCAGCTGGGATAGAGTTAATTTTCT